AAATTATAACTATCCTGGAAGAGATAGTGTAATGCCTTTGAAGAGGCAAAGGATATCCCAAAAGAAATGAAAAGCTTTTATGCATGCGCATGCACATGAGAATATGGGATCACATATTGATGATAACCAATGGTAATTTTGGTTTTTACAAGTAGCTACTAAATTCATCAATGAGCTGTGGTGATATTGAGTCCCGTTCTTTTTCCATCAACAAAATTATGGGCTAAAAATGGATAAAGGCAAATCCATTACAATTTTGTAAGACCGTGGAAAAATAGACCTATATACTTGGATACAATACAAATAGCCAAAAGATGTTGAACCTAGAAGGTTACATATAGGCATTTGTAATACTGTGAAATACACTCACATGATATGACACAAGGTTGTAAAAGAGTTCATATGAATGGAGAATTATATACGAAGGGTTATGAGTCGCCCACATCATATCTCCATGAGTAAATCCCTCAAATATACATGGAAGCAAATTGCTCTGTATAAATTCTAAAGGAAAATGTGTCATGAAGTGTAGAAAATCCCTGAAGGATTCAAATTGCTTGAAGAAAACCCCATAAGGGTAAAGCATAAAATATGTACTCAATACCAATGGATGGTATAAATTGCCTTAGTGAGTATTTTCATTATGGTATTGTTGCAACATACTAAAATCTCTTGCAAGAGTTGATGATATTAAATTGGGACTCCTGAAGAGTCAAGAAAGAGTATAAAGTGTTGAGAGAAATATTGTCTCGAACTGCAGAATCGAACAATATGCCAACACGAATCTTATCCACGATGTTTATGACATTAAGAATCGTATGGATTAAAGATTATGAGTTGAATACTCAAATGATTTAGACACTAAGAATAATCATTTATCTTCGTGAGGGTAAAGATAAATTGATATTTGGTCCAGAAGTACCACATCTTAGTGCAATATATGCTTTATTGTATTTAACACAATACACTGAATGAAATAAAGCTTATATATTAATATCTCCGAGAAATTACATACACATGAGTTAAAACAAACAAACAGAAGGGAACCTTCACAAAGGTTACTCATGTGAAGCCTCAGTACTCGGAAGTACCCCAGAAGGGGAAAACACCAGAAGTTGATTATTTGGAGTCTCAATACTTGGTGGAACTCCAGACAACTAAGACAATGGATGTCTTTAGAATAAAGACTCGAACCCCCGATTGTCATTTTGAGTCCGACCTTCGGATTCTAGTAGCTGGTCGAGCTTTCTTTTCATGCTCGTAGAGTAATTATTTGTAAGCATGTGTAACACTCTATTCTCATGCTTGAGCCCTCTAATCTCTTTTTTAAGACTTGCCACCTCAGCCATTAATGATTCAACTTGGTGAGTTCGAGCAAGTAGGCGCTGTCCCATATTGGATACAGAGCCCGCACATTGAACACTGAGAGCCAACGAGTCTTGAACAGCCGCCTCATCAGACCGGTTTGAAAGGATTCTGTTGTCCTTTGGAGTGAGAAGATTTCTGGCTACCACTGTAGCAGTTATGTTATTCTTCATCACAGAGTCCCCAACCGTAAGAGGACCATTAGAAGTTGAGAAGGACGGGCGCCATATGTTATCCTGACGCTGCTCGTCTGTATCAATCCTGAGACTCAAATCTAAACAAATGTTAGATGGGCAAGCCATTTTCAGAAATGATGAAGGAAGTCAAATAAAATCTCAGAAGTGCAAGAAAGGGAAATTTCTGCAGGCAACAATTTTCTGAGTGTTACTGAACAAAATTGATATCTCTATAAAAGGAGGGACAACAGGACCACTTATTCAAAAATTGAAGAGACACCGATTTTCGAATCTCAAAAGCTGGATTTCCCTGCATGACGTCTGTCAACATTTCTCAGACGCAATCTCAGCTCTTGGATATCACGTGCAACTTTGTCAAAGATTTCTGATAAAGTTGAAAACGCGTGAATCTTACTGTTCTAATTACACCACAGTTGCTGACAAGAGTAAAGGCACAGCTTTACTACCTGCTATTGGAAAATCAATATATATGTCAACCTTTGTCTTCCACGGCAAGGCAGAACTGAAAAATATCTAACTCTTCCTCATCTCCGAGAATGCATCTTTCACAAAGTATCTCGAAATACTCAGTTTTCTTCCTCTCTGAGAATACCTCTACAAACAAGTCACACCAGAGTAAGAGTATCTCATATCATCAGGGACGAGAGCAAGAGTATCTCATATCATGCAATCTCCCTGTCCTTTCCTTTGTCCTTGTTCTTACCTGCCAAGACAAGGATAAAGAAAGCAATATGTCGGAACCTCCACTCAAACTTGCGCTGCCACCAAGAAGTGATGGTCCATTCAAATACAAGGTTTGCATTCCACTCCTGTATCAGATGACAAATACTACAAGAGAAGATGCCAAACCTGCATAAGGAAAATATCACTTCTGCAAGGAGAGCAAGTAAGGCAAGTGAAAATGATACATTGAAGCATGTGGAGACAAGCACAACAAACACATTTCAGTTCATCCCCGACAAAGTCTAAGATCATTTGTCACATGAAGCTCCTCATGATCCAATTTCATTCAAGATCAAGTGTAGACGGCCTTTGAAGAAATCACAAGTCCGATTCAAGATCAAGTGTCCACCACCCTTGAATCAAATTCAGCTCCAGATAAAATAGGTAAATTCAGACCTTTGGAGGAAGTCTAGCAGAAAGGCCCTCCAACCCAGTTCAAGAACAAGTCTGTGGAAAGTTAACAACAAGTGAAACACCTCATTCGGCAACTATCACCGCTAAAAGACTAAAGCAGCAGGATCAATGATCAGCTTAAATAATTTGAAATCAGGGGGAGATACTCATCAAGGGGGAGCATCCAAAATAGATCAAGATCTTAACGAGGCAACTCATGTTGATATGTGGGCATCCAAGGGGGAGTGTTGAAAATACTAGTGGGTAATGAATGCCCACAGTATTGAATACCTGCCACAACATTGAAAACGTTGCCAAAGGGTTGAAAACCTTGGCAAAATATTGATATGTGGAGATCATTTGTCAAAGATGTGTGCTTGGAGTTGCTCTATAAATAGAGCACTCCGTATGCTTCGAAAGGAGAGCAAAAAAAGAAAAAAAGGAAAGAGAGGAAGAGAAGAGGAGAGAATACATAGAGTTATCTTTGTACTCCTATTTATAATAAAAGCATCATTGCTGCCCGAGGACGTACTCCAGTCACACTGACTGTAGAGGAACCTCGTAAATTTTGTGTTTTGTTTTATTTATTCCACTGTACACACATCGTCAATTTTACAACAAAACTATAAATTTTTTGACACCAAAGACTTTTTACATGATTTTTTTAACTTTGGGACCTGTTTTCTTATTTCTTTTTCAGTCTTGTTCTCTTTTTTTTTCTGTCCAAAATATTATTTTTCTCATTTAATAATCTTATTCTACATTACTTTCACCCCCAAATAAATACAAAGTGGGACAACCCTATTTTCGACCCAGCCGTTCTCTCTCTCTCTCTCTCTCTCTCTCTCTCTCTCTCTCTCTCTCTCTCTCTCCTCCTTGAGCTTAACTCCTCGCCTCCTCCCTAACCCTAGCTCCCTAACCTTTTCGATGGGATCGACGGCTCAGTGTGGGATTTGGTGAGGGGAAGGCATGCGGCTGATAGAGAGTAAGAGAGATAGTGGGCGAGGGAGAGAGAAAGATAGGCATTCGATGAAGGGAAGGCATGCGGTTTGTCGAGAGGGCGGAGGGAGGGAGGAGAAGACGAAAATCAACTGCAAGAAGTTCATGGATAGGGTCTCAGCAATGAAGACCCTTCGGCAGTAGATTCAAGTCAATCTTGGTTTTCTGGCCGATTTGGAGTAGGTTTACACTAAAATTGAGAAAACACATATGAACGAAAAGGCTCGAGGATGTACGACAACTTGGAAAAGGTAACTCTCGAAGATGTCAGGTTTGAGAAGGTAAAAGGTAAAGTTTCGTACTTTAGTGTTTGATCCTGAAATTAATTTGTGTGTGAGTTCTGATCTCTGTAATTTTGTGTAAAATTCAATGACTTTACCTTTTCTAATGCCTTATTATTTTCTATTTTCTTTTTTTTTTCTTTGAGCTTCTGCTTTTTGGGCATTTTGGGTTCTATTTTTCGATTTCACAGTCGACTAGAAATATTAAGGGGAGGGAGAGAGAAATTGCTCTGTTATAACTACACTTCTATATTTCCTACGGGTTGGTATATTTGATAATTAGAAATGATAGCTTTACTTGATTGATGTTTTATTTTTCTGTATTCAATTTAGGGTACTATGAATTAGGACTCGACAATCCACCATAAGCTGCCAAGTTCTACAACTGTTGTGGGGCTGCACGACCAGTTTCCATGTTTCGTATGATGACGATTGATCCATGTAATATCTCTCTTTTAAGTTTCATCATTTCATTCAGTCTTGCTCCTGCACTCTAACCAAGCTTCTGTATCTCCAATAATTTCATCTCTTTTATATAAAAATGAAGTTGATGCGTAATTGGGTTTTTTTTCTCTTTAGTTATGTTTTTTTTTTCATTATCGAATTAATCTTTCCTGCTGTTGTTTATATAATTCTGAGGGAAGAGAGTTAATGGAATGGGGGTAACAAAAGAGGGGAAGGAAAGGGAAAGATGAGTGCACAGGTTGGCCTGTGTTTTTTTTAATTGGTTTAAGATTTTGTTTACGTTTGGGGTTCTTTTGCCCTAACACAATTTTGAATTCATATAGAATTTTGTTTATGTTTGGGGTTGTCATGTTCGTGTATTTAATTTGGTGTTTGGTAGTTTACGTCACAGTTGTCGTCGGTTTTCTTAAAGGATAAATCCAAGCGATAATGCCCTTTCTGATGTATGTGCAAATGTGAACACTTTGTAGTCATCAATTCTTCGTTGTGTTTATGTATTCTTTGAGTTGGTTGATACAATTAAATTTATCTCTGAATCAGTTTTGATAAATGTTTGCTAGACGCTCTAAGTGCTAGAGGAAAAATGAGAGTACTATAGAAGGCTGCTGCAAAAGGGTAAGAATAGCTACTGAGAGCTACTACAATTTTTGTTAATTAAGGGTCGACAACTTACTTTGGCATTTGTAATCATCAATTCTTGACTCGAGCATTACGTATGAAGAATGGAGTTGTATAACTTTTCGAGTTAACATTTTGAGAAATAGCTTTAAATTTTTGTTTTCATTTTGCTGATTTTCGAAGTGGTTGTAGGAAGCAGTTCTTTTGAACCAGATTAATTGTTTCACTGATTGCTTGTTGATTGTGTTTTTGAATTTTGGGAGTCAATCTTAAAATGTAGTGGCCTTTTAAGAGATTCGGGGTTTTTCCAAATCTGAATTTGGTACGTGTGTGTGTTGTGCTGAGGTTGAATTTGAATTTTGCTCATTGGTTTCTTATCGGCTCACTTCACCCATCTCTTGGTTATTTGAATTCTTTAGAGATGCTTGTATTGATTTGTGATTTTGTTGGATTTACTCTGGTGAAATTTGTTCATCTGCACTGGCTGATTTTAGGCCACGACTCCATTCTTGTTTATTATTAAGTCTTAATGGTATAGGGTATATGTAAATGAATTCAATTAGAACTCACTTTTTAATTTTCTGTTTTGTAGCTGCCTTGATCATTAGTTGGTGATGTTTGGGAGATTGAGAGTAGGATAGGATAATTTGTTCATCTGCGCTGGCACTGACTTCTATCCATTTTGAGAGGAAAGCAGATTTGGGTTCCAACTAATCCTCGAGGGACTGAAAGCCTAGCGCCTGGTATCATTGCATCTGAGTCGGATTTCTATCTTCGACGACTATGAGGTCTGCCCAGTGAGGTGTGCATCTACTACTCTTAACTTTAGTATGAATAACACGTCCTGTTTTGTTTAAGAATTGGATTATTTTTTCAAACCTGTTCACTAATCTTAGCCTTTTCTTTTTGAGGTGGAACTTGTAGGACTTACTTGTCAAGCCAAAGTATCTTGTAACCTTTACCCTAGGTTGTGCTCAGAAAAATAACGTTGATGCAGCAGTTAAATGGGTCAGTTCTCTCAACAATAGCGAAGTTCACTTGTAAGATTGGCATGACATGTTTAAGCTCTTTGGAAACAAAGTGTTCAAACACTTTTCAAAGTTTGAGTCCCAACATTTGTTCAAAATTGTATAAAAGATAAGTTATGCAAATTTGTAGTATATTCTTATATCAAAGATATTACAATTTGTTTCCTCACCAAAAACAAAAGAAAAATATTATATTCAAATCTGGATGCCCCCAGGGGCATCCTTTTTTTTTTAATATTATTTTTGAACTTTGCCACCAATGTGAATTAGGGTGGCATTGTTAGTCTCAAATCTAGCCACTAATAAGAGGACAATGAGAATTTTAGAAATAATTATAAAATATAAAACAGTTGTACTATTCACATACCCACCAATGCAATATTGGTAGCCATTGTTACAATAGAGTCCTCTACATATGCCACACTCTCTAGTTTAGTGGGTGCTTGGTGGCCATAGAGGTTTGCCACCAATTTGAGTGGCAACACTTGACAATAGCCACCAAATGAAAAGGGTGGCTTATAGCCAAATTTCTAGTAGTGTAAAGTGGCATTGAAACTTTGAAACTTTGCTCGAACCACCAAAAATCTGTTACTGACAACCATCCAGTCCGTCCACTTGACCTCGCCCGAGACCCAAGCCCCATGGTAATTTACTTTGTCAAATCTATATGGCCACGACGTTGCCAATATTGGAAAGAGAACGGTGCTCTCCACCATGGTAGGCTCTTGCGGAAGACGACAGTCCAACCAAAAATGATGATTACACGCCTTGTACAATATTTTCGCGTAGACCCATGCATGCCTCATAAATCCAACACACAATTACGACAAATCGGGCAAGTTAGGCTCTTCTTCAACCAAGTGTTCATGCAGTTGGAGTGGAACGTATGATTGCATGAGGGAAAAACTTGACACAATTGATCGGTCTCAAAATCCTCCATGCAAATAACACAATCTTTACAATTAATTTTAATTTCTTGGCTTCCATAAGCTATAGCTGGTGGCATTTTGCTCTCCATAACTTGTTCCCTTTCTCGCTGCTGCCTCTCGTCCCTTCTCTCCTCCAAAACATCAACAATCGAGTCCAAAATTTCCAAAACCCTGAAATTATGCAGGAGGGTTGCTTGATAAAATGTAGCTTGGTCATTCCATTCTGAACTGTTGTCTGGTCGAAACAGTCGTTGTTGATCCCCGGCTTCAGTATCAGGGTTACTACTCCTCTCGTAAGAGGGCGTCTGGATGAACTCGCAGATGACGTAAAAGAGGGCGATGACAATCAACGTAAGTATGATGGAGAACGCTATGATGCAGACGTATACGAAAATTATCGTGCTGATGAAAGAAAGAAGAGAAAAAACTGGAGGTGGGATGACAAGCTTAAGGGCTTCAAACATGTTCATGGTGACGAAGAATGAGAATGCTAACGTTATGATCAACGAAGGCTTGGGAATCCGACATGGATGCGCATGCTTTGCTTGGTATTTGTCTATGAAGAAGTTGTTGAACGGAAAAACTGTTAGACTCATATTCGAGATTTTTGCCGTTCAAATTAACAAACATTTTCAAGAAGATCTAGAGGTTGATGACATAAATATGAAAATCTGGTTCTACGCTTTCCTGGAGTGGTTTTAATTGTTTTATCCTTGTTACATGTATAGACGTTGGAGTCTTGGAGATCGTTAAATTTGTTGTTCGGGTAGAGTTTTCCTTTTTTTTTTTTTTTTTTTTTTTTTTGGAGTTCTTAGGTACGGTTAATTTCTAGGAGTTTTAACAAAACACTCTTGATACTATTCACTTTTAACGAAAAACCACATTTTTACCTTTCTATGGTACTATATATTCACTACATCTTTATTTATCAATTTTCATTAAAACTAAAAATTTTTTAAACTTTTCGATAATTTTCCTTAATTTCTATGTTAATTACCAGACATAAAAAAAGCCATTTTGGGACCTTATTTTATTTTATTGAAAGGTGGTATTCTAAAATACTAAATAAATTATGAGGAGGACGATGCAAACGTGAGTTTAGAAACTTTACAATTCTATTTACCCCAAATTGGTAGGATTAGGGCCTCGATCCCTAGCTAGATGATGATAAGGATAAAGAACGGTCACGATCCACTTACTATTAACCAAATTTTGCCAAAACATTATAATCGGAACCATCAATTCTCTTTATTATTATAAAAATGATCTTTAGATGATGACAAAGAGAAAAAACATGTTCAATTATTATGTTGGGACAATAAAAGTTCGTTAATCGTAAGGAAAAGGGGGATTCAAATATGGAACCCTGAGTGCAAGAGCATATACTCTTAACCAACTAAGTTACAAGAAAAAATCTTGAAAACTTTGAGTTTTAACAATAAGGACAAAATAAAGGGTAAAATGAATAGTACCAGGATTGACTTTTTAGTGTAAAAATATGATTTTTCGTCAAAGTGAACAGTACACATACTGATTTAGTATAACATGCTTGCACATGTAATTATTCTATAATTTTCTTTTCTTCACATAATATTAGTTAAACTGGTTTATCATGCGAAAATTCAATTTACTCGTGTTAGAAACTAACACACCATGCATATAAGCATATTAATTAATTGTGTTAACGTTCTTAACGAATACCATAATCCTAAAATTGAAAATAAATAAATAAATATGTTTTATCTTGATTGGTTCTATCATCGGGATTTTTTTTTTTTTTTTTGTGATGAAAACCTTACACATGTCTTATTGTTCATGTGGTAAGATTAGTGGTGCAATCAGAATTTTATAATAATGGAGTCATGATGAATAAACTTTCCCTTAAAAAAAAAAAAAAAAAAAAAACCTTAATGAATTAACCTGCTTATAGTTATAAGTATAAAAACATGTACCACTTAGTACTATGGTCTAGTGTTATTCCTCTTCACTTGTAAGTGAAAGGTCTTAGGTTTGAATCTCGTTAATGACTAGTTCGCAACCAATTCGTTTCCCTACCTATTATAAATCTATCGTTGTACTAAAAAAGTATAAATACATGTGATCAGTAGCTATGAGTCTTAGAAGAATATCAGAAGGCTCACATAGTATATCTTATGAGAGATTTTTCAGTGTGATCGGCACACGGGATGGTACACCATGTGCCACTATACAAATGGTGGGATGTTTGTGTTAAAAAATTAATAACTTAAAAAATAAAATTTCCCACCACTTATATAAAAACACGTGGTGTACCACCCATGTTTCCGTCACAATGAAAAATTTCTCATATCTTACAATACTCAATTATTAGTTCTATTCAATCAATTGAAAAGAAACCTAAAACCCCATCATTAATACTACATTTAATAATGATTGTATGAAATCTTAGATTTAACAATAAGATAGTTGTCTGAAACAATTAATGAGAGACGTAATTAAGTGAATTCTATAATATTCTAGTTCGCAAGTGAAGGATGAACATATGTAGTGCACAAAGTGGTCAAACAAAGACCAGCCCACATGAATGAGGAAGTAAAATTTGTATCGTCACTTAGTAATACGGTCTAGTGGCATTCCTCTTCACTTGTAAGTGAGAAGTCTTAGGTTTGATTTTTGCCAAAGATGAATTTGAACCATATTATTGTTGAAATCCCACATCAGCTAGAGAAATAATGAAAGAAGAGTTTAAATATCTTAATCCCACTCTGACTAATATCAAAGCCTTTTGTAATAAAACCTCACACCTGAGGGACTATGCAGGTGGTAATTAATAAGTTAGAGTCAATATCAGTGTTCTTGGAAGTGGGCATTTGGCCCGTCTCCCTAATAATTCTACATGGTATCAGAGTCAGGGAGGGGGCTCGTATTGTCACGTGGTGGGTGAGTCCCCTTTGCCCCGTGCAAAGATGGTGAGTCCTTTGGCCCCACGTGTAGGGTGAGTCCTTTTGGCTCCACATGGTTGCCGATGTATGGATCTCCCACATGTGACCCACTATTTGGATCCCACGTAACGAGGCGTGTTGAAATCTCACATCTGCTATAGAAATAAAGAAATAAGAGTTTAAATATCTTAATCCCACTCTAACTAATACCGAGGCATTTTGTAATTAAACCTCACATCTGAGTGACTGTGCAAGTAGTAATTAACAAGTTGAGGACAATATCGGTGTTGTTGGAAGTGGGCCTTTAGCCCGTCTCTCCGATAATTCTACAATTATTACTAGCCTATAATAAGGCATAGTTCACCTCCCCCCCTCCCCATACCTTAGTGTAGATAATATCATTGTTTCATAAAATAAAATTAAAGAAAATTGTACCACCAGTCTAAATGATAAAGCTAAATTCCAATTGAATGGTATGCAAAATATCTAGCACCGCTCCAACTACACCATCAAATTTATTCTTTTTTGAACAAATTATAAGGTTAAGACAAAAAATACGAGGAACATTGGGTTATTGGAGTCGTGAGCATCATTGCCCTTAGTGTAGCTCTGCTACTAAGATGCAAGTTGACCGATATTATAAGTATAATTAGTAATAAATCGCCTGCCTATCTTTATGAAATCTTGACCTAATATTAGAGGGGGTTGTTTGATTTGGCTTGTAACGAGCCCTATAATCCATGAGCCTTAACCCCTAGTTATCCTCCTCAAGGATATAATAACTTAGGAAGTAAAATATAATTCTTATAATTTTTTCCATTTTCATAATATGATGCCATGGTCGATATTTTGCGAGGCTTAGCATGACATTGGCATGCCATGGTCGACATTTTGTAAGGGTTTGCATGCCATGATGGACATTTTGCAAGGCATGGCATGTCAAGCCTCATGCCATGGTCGACATTTTGCTAGGCTTGGCATGACAAATGTCATGCCATGATGGACATTTTGTGAGGTTTGGCATGCCATGGTATAAAATTACATGATTGATATTTTGTGAGTCTTGGCTTGTCATTGGCATGTCAAAGACAAATCATGACACGCATTATGCTGACACTTTGCAAGTCTTGGCACGTCGCGACATACATTTTCCCGACATTACAAAGTCCAAGTCTCAACATGAGTTGGAAAAAGACATGCAGAGCTAGAAAATTTTTCTTGGGTGGGCTAGCTAAAATTATTAGCATGTAATCATATGATATTTCTTTTATCTACATAAAATTATATAATAATCTACATAAAAGTAAGAACATGAAGTACTAATCCAAATGAGTTTATTAATTACTTTCCAACTAATTTTTACACAAATAAAACATGCATACAAAAAACTGAAAAAACAATAGAAGGAGAACAAATATTATCACTTTTGTTGATAACAAGTACCCAAAAGAAAAAAAAGGTTAGGGGATACCAATTCAAGTTGTGTTGTAGATATCTGTAATGGAATTGAAATCTTTTGTTATTATCAGAATTGATATTGTCGTTGAGCCCTTTTTTATTAGTTACAAATACAAGAACCATGAAACATGGATTATTCCCAAAATCTTTGACCTTAATAGACAAATTCAAGGACTAAAAAAAAATAAAAAATTAACCTAACAATTGAATCAAGAAATAAGTTAAATGAAGAGATGAAAAGCATACTTGGTGTTGAATTTCATTAGAAAATAATTTGATGGTGATTCATAGTTTTTCTTTTCTTGGGAAAGCAACGCAGCTTTGTTGAGTAGGGTAGAGGGTTTTTTTTTGTTTTGAACGAATATGCATGGTAAAAAGCATGGAGAGTAGGAGAGGCCTAATTATGTATTAATTTACCATTTTTACTTTTGGCCTAAAAATAATATATAAGGTAATAAAAGTATTATTTGAAAAAAAAAAGTATTATTTATAAATTAAGAAACACATTAACTATTAGTTTTGACAAAATTTGGGTGGGCTATTATACTTACAATAAGCAACAACCTCATATATAAACTATTATAGCTGCAATTTGTTAAAATCCTCCCTTGGCTACAGCCCACTGTTGTGGTGGTTGTAGCTCCGCCAGTGATAATATGTACTTTTTTCTTCTTATTCTTCAACACTACCTCTAAATTTTCTACATCTCATATTTTGTATCCGATATATAACATGTAGGTGTTTCCACTTAAGAACGAAGGTTTATAATTTTTTTGGGAAAGCTTTAGTTTAAGAAAGAGTCGTCTCGTGTCGAGGCCTTGGGAATATAATTAATTTAAATTCGTTATATGGTTGCATACCAAGAATCGAATGTATGAACAAAGTTCCATTTAAACCCCAAAATTAGGGTAATTGCTTGGCTTAAAGTGTTTGCTAAAGTGGTTGCAAACTATTAACATGCCTTACAAAGAATGTTGGTAATTACAGGTGTTTGACAGATTCACAACATACAAATCTTAAAAACTAAAAAAATTAAAAAGATTTAAAAGTATTGGTCATACATCCATGATACAATTTCGACAAACTGGGCA